CTGATAGACTCACATACTGGTAAGGTCGCTGGTGCAGAACTCACAGAGATAATCTGTCTACGGCTACCCAAGCTTTGCAGCCAGTCCGCGCCGACTTTCTTCAACAGCTTGTAGTCTGGAAGGTGCCAGCTTTGCCAGAATCAGTCCACCTGCGCCAGAGACTGGTTGTTCTGCACAGAAACTCGATTGAAATTGAAGGCAAATTGCGAACACCGATGATTGCCCGCACTGGCTCTCCCCCCTCCCCTTATTGAACCGATCGAGCATCTTCCTTCTTGCCACATCTAAACACACCTGTCGCTTCTTAAATCGCCGCCGCCACCAACACCGCGACCGGTGATTTTCTGACGTGAATTCATTAAGTGTCACCTGCTTGCGCAAGAGCTCCAATGAACCCTTGTGGAGGGGACAGGGCACATCGTTCTTTGGGAACCCAGCGAGGGGAAGAGGTCGCATTTTGGTCTGAATAATGTTTCCGATGACTTAACTTTTCTCAGTTTTTTCGTGCCTGTATACTACACCACCATCCACTGCTCGAACGCAGTTTTATTTTTGGAGAAGAACTCCAGAGAAAGGCGGTAGAAAGGGGAGAATTCAGGAAATGGTGGGATGAGGACGGGAAGGGGTAGTAGCAGAAGAGGAATTTGAGGTGGGGGATGTCATACCCTGTAAATCTCCTCTCCCAACTGCTGGACGTGTTCTGGGAAGAGGAATAGGTGGCGTTAGCTGTGCCAGGCTAACGTAGCTGGAGCGAGGTCTCTTTGAGATCGTGACGAGGTGTGAATCAAAGGTTATCGGGGGCTTATGCTCTTATGAGCAATTTCTTTTCAGCTTATTGTTCTTCGTTAGCAATACATATAGATCTGTACGTATTTTGGTCTAGCTTTGTCATCATTGAGCCGATTATGGCGATTAGAAACGAGTAATTGCTATGGTCGCTGTACGGCTTCGAGCATTGATGTTTGGAAGATAAAGGACTCGGAAACCGTAGAACATAGGCCTGGGAATGAGCAGCTACAACCTGAGAAGTTCAAGACACCTCATTGCGATGTGAAATGGGAAATTTCCTACAGTTCAATGAGCCAGGACCTTTCCTTCACCCCATGAACTCTTGCAAAATAGTTTTGGCGAGTGAAAGGAGCTGCTGCTGCTGTCGCTATGTGAAAGGAGCACTGATAGCAAGAGTCATTGGCGAAAGAACTGACCTGAAATGAGATTAGAACCCACACCTCATGCTTACCAGGCCAGTCCGCTATCCACTACACCACCTAAGGTGCCTTCTATCGGGAGACGGGCAAGAAAATCGTAACTTGCCACCTTTTCGCGCGTGACAGAGGGCGCGACGTTTCCTTAATTGCACTACCCTTTCGATTGGAGCATCGGATTTCATGTAGACAAGGACATGGTAGACACTTATGTCTATTTTTGGTCATACATTGTCTATTCTCGACCAATACCACCTAAATCGTCGTCATTAGCGGGCGCGACGTCGCACGCGACGCCCACTGGCGCGGCGAATTACGATTCTCTTGCCACATACCCCTTCTATCCTCTTTACTTAATGGTTGTCCCCAAGCGAATCCTCTCTGAACCAGTGAACCGAAGTCTCTCAAGGCCTGCTTAGATCAGTTTCTCACGTTCATTAAAGTTCGACGGCTTATGGCTTCCCGAATCTTGTATCTCATTATTAGTGAGATTTTCAACGCTCTAGCTCGTCTCGTTCTCACAGGGCTCCTCCACGACTCTAAAAGTAGATGTGACCATGAGATGCGAGTTTTTAAAGCTGTGGGAAGGTCGGTAGTTTCTCAGATTCGAGGTAGCGCATCGCAGCTATTTCGATCATCTCAGGGAAGGCCAGCTAAACCCTAGTTTGTAGGCTGGTAGTACGACTGCTTTCAAATTGTAGGAGATTGTGGCGCTGTTCGGCGACGGGGGGCATTTTGCACTTTTACTGCTGCACTAGTTCCGATTTTCAGGTTTCACTCTGGTAAAACCTGTGAACTCTTGTTAAGCTAGAGTAGGCTCATGAGCTACCATGATAAAACCTGTCAACCCTTGTGAGCTCATGAAATAGCTCTCTGGTCAGTAGCAAAGCGACATTGTCCTCCCCCCGTCGCCGAACTGTGCCAGACATTGTTAAGCTTCTTCTTGGATTAAGTAGGCGCTGGCAAGAAGGCTACGGACCTGGTGTTTTTTATAGGCAGTCACTCATATTTTGGTTACACTTTGTTATGTTATGTTATGTTATGTTTGTATTTTTTCCTACGGAGTCATGAGTCGAGGGATAGAGTGGCAAGAAATAGGCGGGCTAGTTGCCCTCATTATGAAGTGCGAGCCTCGTTCTGCTTCAATTTGTGAGCCATTTCCTCCATCCGTAGAGGTTGAGCTTCACAGGGCATTTTCGATGATCCTTGGCCATATCCTCTGAAGGCACACTCTAAGATAACGCCATCTTGAAAGGAGCTTGGGAGGTGCTAGGAGTGGAGTGCGCTAATGTTGGACATAGGGCGCTGTTTGCTTTGATTTTACAGTTTCACTAGATTGAGACTTGTAAACCAGAACAAGTGAAGCAACGAAAATGCAAAATGCCCCCCCCCCCTGCAGACTGGGACGACATGTGCCAATGGTGTTTATCCCACTTAAAGGAGCGGTACGCGATGACCTATGAAAATGCAAGAGGTTATGCGGGAAGGTAGTGCTGTTCAGAGTGGACAACCCTGTGCCAGTTTCGCAGCGGAAAGTTGTACATAAAGGGATTGAGGCGCAAAGTTGCTTCAGTGGTACATCCCTTTTTCCAGTGACTCCGCCTCCAGACTCCGCCTCCAAAGTCGGCCTTCCAGCCAAAAGTAATGCTCCCGGGCAAGTATCATGGAGTGGATGCATTCAATGTCTCTTGTAGAGTCATAGGGTTCATTACTGGGAATCAGCCGACGGGAATTGTCCCAGCGCGCGGTCTTTTCGGTCTTTTACCTCTACAGTTGTTTGAGGCTAGAGGAGGCCTGACGAATGCGTTTCCAACGTTCCCTTTGGCATTTTCTCTTCATAGACGGTTCACTTGGCGAATTTTCTTCCACATTTCTGCAAAATCACCTGGACTTTTTATCGCGGACCGTGCCTTTGAACGCGTTTCGCAGATTCTTTTCTATATACGCTAGCAGTAAACTTTAGATAGTCTTGTCGACAAACTTCGCAAGATCTGCATAGACGCGCTAATCCTGGAAGATCGAAGTGAACGTCAGCTCAATTCGGCTGCCTTTGAGGTCTTACAATTTGCTAATGTCCGTCTGTTGCGGTAAGCGCTTTGATGACAAGACGACAGTGGCTGAGGTCAATCGAAGTGCGCTGTTCAGCAGCCCTTTCTGAAAGCTCTTCTTGTTCCTGAAACCCTGTAGTTTGTTAGGAGCATGGCGAATCACTGCTGATTCACCTATCTCTCTATTTCGGAGGGCAGTTTCGAAAATGGCAGGCAGTCGAAAGAGAGATTCATAGTATAGACGGAATTTTATGAGCTGGTAGCACCCCCTTTCCCACTCCTATAGCCCTGCTGTGTCAAGTCTTTTCCAGGAAGCTGCTTCTCCAACCCTGCATGGGAGTCCTAAGGATCCCATCGTGGTCCATCTACTGCTGAGATACCTGGGACTACTCGATCGTAGAAAGACAGTCTCCAAGAATGACACCAGGGCTACCCATAGTTCTACAAAGCCGGACGCTGCCACCCTTCTAAAGATTCAGCTTATTTCCATTCTTCTATGATGTAATCAGTTTCCAAACCATTTCTACACGCTTACTGAACTGTCTCCTGAGGTCCAGTGGCCTTGTGGGCTTGTTCGGCTTGGAGGGTGCATTTTGTACTTTCGCCAATTTTTACTTAGGAAGCTTCTTCTGGGTAATACCTGCAAATTATTGAAGCGGCCAAATGGTACGAGTGAGCCGCTTGAGGTTACAAGTCCTCACAAGTATATGTGCAGTGCTGAGTACCGTTCAGTGCCCCCACCGAGCCGAACTGCTCTAACACTTTAGGCCACGGTAACTAGATCCGCAACAAAGCTGAGTGATACTTTCAGGACAATGTTCCTATCGGTGTCGCATTACAAAGGGCACATACCCTTACTCATTTACCCTCACTCAGAAGTATTTGTAGATTAATGAAGTCCTAGAACGGACGGCTACGCGGAAATAGGCTTTGGCAAGATGCCAATAATTGTCAAGTGTGTCCCTAGAGGACCTCGCGTTCGATTCTGCTAAGTGGAACGATAATGATATATCTGGATGTAGCATTGCCTCATAAGGATGTGGGTGCCTTGGCTTCACGAGTGCTCAAATCCCGGGGTATCAGACTCTGCGCTTTTTTGCGGTACCCATTAGAGCCATCAGTTGGTCAGCTAATCCTTACCTATCCACAGGAAAAGCCACTAGAAATATCAGGTGAGCTGACACCTTCTAGGGCAGCAAACCTCTCCGAATGACCTTTTCGGCCTCAGATACCGGGAATGTGCCGTGATTTGTTTAGAAAACTGTTATCTCAGTCATCAGCCGCCAGCCTATCTTAGCTGACCAGTAAACAATTAGCACACAAAATGTAACCATACAATGGCAAGAGGTTAAAGAATGGTCCCAGATGGCGCCATATCACCCGGCCTCATCGAGTACCATTCTTTACAATTAGGCAAGAGCTTTTGTGAGGGACACGACCATTGGGTCATACTCATTAATGGAGTCAGATCATCGGGAAAACTAACCAAAATTACCACATGGAAAGAATGTCAAGTCTCAGCATTCCTCACATTGAATTTCAAGAGCAACGACAAATTCATGGCGCATCCTCAACAATTATATCGATGTTATTTTATAGATTGTACACGTGATGCTCTGCCAGTACTACTCACCAAATGCCACGCTCAACCGGGCTGTTCATTGATGGTAAACTCGGAAACATTTGGCAGTCCATGCCCAAAGGACGTGCCATCCTATCTCAACATTCTCTTCATGTGTGGTGAGTAATGCTCACACTTTTATTTTGGGACAAAAATGAGTTCCTCTTAAGAAACCCTCTATCATATAAAATATGGATTGACATTATGAAATACTATGAGTACCAGAAATACATGAGGAATATTCATGCTCGGGAGGAGCATTTCCCTCCTTCCTTCCTTCTTTCCTCCCTCTTCATTATTTTCTCTACTCCAAATGTTGGGCTGAGGAGATGCGATGAGAAAGCACCTCTGAGTCATCGCAGAGGAAAAATATTTGGTTGACAGAAGCCTCGTACCCTGCTTGATAAGTCCTTTACTTATAGCTCATGTTGTACCTCCCATATACTCAACGCGTACAGTATAGCATAGTACATGCACTTCATATCCCGGAATGAAGTGGGTGTAGCAAGGTACTTCACTCAAGCGTAGCGGCCACCTGCCCTTCTGTGGCAATACTCTCATCCGAGACAATAGTAACGGTCTTTGCCCGCACAAGACAGTATTTAAGTGAAATACCCCACAAAAAAGGCAAAACTAAGGTCACGTTGCAAACTAAGTACCGTAGCCACGCCCACTCCAGCTCCCAGCTATAGAGTGTATAGCTGGCTGCCACCTGCCCATAACTCTCATATCTACCTTTTTCAAAATCGGTTGTTGTTCAAGAGCAGTTTGGTATAATGCCATTGGAGAAATGAGGCCCACCATACAATGCAGCAAGTGGTGGTAATGTATTAACGCAGTACAATCACGGTAATCCTTTTTACTTTAGGTTGTAGTCTTAATCTAAGCGTTCAGACCGTAATTTGCTTGGAGGGGGCATTCCTACCCGTGCGCCTTTCCTTCTATTAGATCGCCTTAGATTGTTCCTCCTGTTAGATCTCGCTCTAATTGAAAGGTATCTGGCTCGTAAGACCTGTAAATTCTTGTGATGCTGTGAAGACCTACAAATGAGTCACTTCAGCAACAGGAGCGTATGTACATGTCTTCACAAGGTGCCCTGTACAAGCTTCCTGTACGTCATTTGGTGCCCCCACCAAGCCGAATCCTCCTATATTCACTTGTACTTATTTAAAATTATTTATGTTGACTTTTCGCTCATCTATATTCGTTCGTTCTTATGGTTAGCTACTGATCGATCACTTGTTACAAACAAGTACAGGACTAGTTCCAATTTACAAACAAAATAGTTTTTTTTTTCAGTGAATGAGGAAATCTTCAGCGAGGATGCGATCAAAGGCGATTTCGAAACGCTGCATAAATTTGTAAAGGTAAGCTTCTATTCGGTCTGAGACTCGAAGAAAATTCTGGAAATCACGTCTGGCTATGAGCAAATCTTTTGCTTTGATGAAATTTAGGTATAGTCGAAAATCTCTGAGATTGGGTAGGCAGGGAATGCGTACTTAATTTTTAAAGTGGCCGGCCGGCCCCAGCGTTTCCGTGAGAATTTGCAACAGTCGTAATCATGTCTACATCTAACACAGAACAAGATAGCAGTTGTTTCAAATTGAAGTATCCCACGAGTAACCCGTCCTATGCCATGCTCAAAAGCCACGCCTACTCCGTTTCAGGGATAAGGAGTGTACATACAGTGTTGTTCGCCTGCGGATGCTTTGGCGTGTCAGGGGACTAGTGTTGGAGTTGCGCCAGTCTGCTTTGCACCAAATGCTGTCTGTTGCTCGCTCTAACAGGCTGACCTCAGTCCCCTGACAAACCCCAGCATCCGCAGCGAACAGAACTGCACACAGGGATTCTAATTAGGCATGAAATTCATTATACCATTCCATAGACCTTTTCGCATTATGATTAGTTGATACTGTAGATGTTCAGGAAATGCAGGAAACGACTACACTACCAGCTCCAAGCATAGATGCTGGATGGGAAAAGCTAAGCGAGAGACACGCCGAGACGGAGCCAACCGTTTTGCTGGGTACTCTTTCTTCAACGCCACCAGTTCACATGTTCAACAATGACGGTCAGTTTTAACCCCGTCAGATACGAGTCGAGCAATGGCAACAGCTTTATAGAAGCGCGCTCTTTATCTGCTCGGTACCTCTGCTGGTACCATTCCGACAGCCTCGAGTTGAACCTATATTGTTAGAAAAAAGCGGAACTTGAACAAGGGGGGGGGCGTGGCTAAACCCTCTTTGGGCACAGCATGTTTGAGCGCAAGGCTCACGTGGCGCTTATGCTCTAACAGCACATTCTCACACTTCGCCGCTGTGTTGAAGCAATTACTATCTGCTGCAAACAACTCATAACTGATGACTCCAGTGTGGTTAAACCATGTCCCCCCAATCCGGCGTTTTCCAAAATTTTTCTTCATATAAATTCGATTTCTTCGCTCTCTCTCTCCTCTCTCTCTCTCTCTTCTCTCTCTCTCTCTCTGCCTCCTCGTCTCTTCTCTTGTGCCTCCCATGAAGATAAGTATATGTAAACGACAAGGCGGCGTTGAGCTTCCGTCGGCGCGCTTTCAAGCCCCGGTGTGAGAACACGCATAGGGTCAAGCAACACGATTTATCTTCATATCGCATATCATTATGCATGCATCGCGTGCTCGCCAAAGGTTCCAAAATTGAATATCTGGGCAGAGGAGTATATCATTTCAAGGGAGCAGAATTCGAGAGGGGAGGGGGGGGGGAGTGGTGGAGGGAAAGCCGAGAATCAACCTGGAAGCCTTTGAGTTTTTTTTGCAGAGTGATGCTGGAGTAGTTTGGAATGAATGGTTCATGTGGATCAAATGAGGCGGAGTCGGTGTACTTGGCAATACACGCTTTCCCACCCACAAGGTCCGGGTGTCAAAGCTCGGATCGGCCTGCTCAGACCGACCAGGTCTTCCTCCCTCCAGGGACGATAAATTAGTACCGGATTCGTCTGGGAGTATAAGCAAACGGCTGGCCCCGCAGGTCATTCATAGTCCGTAACGCAAGCCAGTACTATTCCTAATGAAGGTGAAATGCGCGGCGCATACCAAAAAGGGGCTCTTCGACAGCCGAAAATTTATACTTTTATCCGGAACTGTGTACTTTGATACTTTTGGATGAGTAAATAGTGGAAGTATTCCGGAGGTAGCCGCAAGCGGGTGTCACAAGCACGGCCACGTCTTGGATCGAAGCATGCTCAGGGCAACCAAGCTTTTCAATGTTCCGGGTTCAGTTGGGTGGTACTGGATTCCATGGTGGACGTGGAAACACTGATGTGTACTTGGTATCGCCAAATTGCGTTCAAAATGCTAATACTATTCTGACTGGATGTAAGATGCATGGCGGATCCTAAAAGGTGCTGATCGATCAGAAGTTCACTCGTTATCCCTCCTAAAATGAGCGTCTCTTGTCTCGTGAACCGCTCCACTATGCGTCCTGAATTCCAGTTATATTTCATGAGAAAAAAAAGTAGCAATGATGGGCTGTAACAGATGTTTGTGTCTGCAGCTGCATTCCATTGGCTAGGTTCGTATTACTGCTATTA